GTTTTGGTAGTGTAATTTTTTACATACTGCCCTATGCACCACTTGGATTTTGAGATTGATAATTACTACTTTCCTTTAAGCTGGAGGGAGAAACGCACTCCACAAGACAATAGATATTACACTCCAAAGTACACTCCAAGTAACCCACAAACGACCCAGACTGTGATGCTCGGAGACGAGCCACGCAGCAGCCCAATAGGTTAGGGGGATAGACCCCGCTAGACGCAGAACGATTTGAGTGTGTGATGCCACAAGGAAGAGGAGGCAGAGAATGGTCGCGTAAATCGCATGGGGGTCAATAGCAAGTAACTTGAAAGACCGGGATGGTGTTGAGCTTTTACTGAACCGAAGTTGGGGCAACATCTTTTGTAAATGATAAATGCAATATGTATATATCAATAAGAGAGTTGGGGCTGCCAGGAGAAAGTTGGGAAGTTGGTTTATAGTCCAATATCGCAAGAATCCGACATTCCAGTATTTTGATTGAACGTATGGATAAATCAATGGCAGGGTTTTGGAACACCATTGAGGCTGTGGCGAGTGAGAGCAGAATGATAGGTAAGCGAGGTATTGGTAGCCTATGAACGGACTAAGGACGATCGCTGTTAATGCCAGAGATTTTATGACTTGAGGCTAGACAGGTTGTGTAAATGTGAAGTATATATGTGGGAAGGATCGACAGTTTACCTTTTGTCGATCCATGAATGGGCGGACAAGTAAACCCCAAATGAGAAAACCGGCGAGAAAGATGCCATTGGATCTGAACATTGCTGCCAGTGCAAAGAGGAGAGAGGCGAAGAACCATTGTTGCCTGGTGCAACATAGCATACCTACCTACCCGTGGTTAGAGGGAGAAAACTGTTTAATTAATTTAACATACCCCGATAGGAGAGATAGGTGAAAAAAGGTTCAGTATATGGTGCGAAATAGGCAGTGACTGGACTGGCGGGGAGGAGAGACAAGAGTGTAGCGAGCAAAGCATGGTTGTGGGATGGTAGATGATATAAGGACAAAGAATAAAGGGTTTGTGAAGCGTCGCAAGCCAAGACTACTATAAGACATGGACTGTAACGAATGATGAGGGGTAAAGCTGGGAAGAAGGCCCATTGGTGTTCATAGAGATAAGAATGGTGAGCAATATGGAAGAAATGAAAGACATCCCATCTGAATAGTGGACGCCAGAGAGGATTGAGATTGAGGATGTCTGGTGAAGCATCGAATAGAGGTAATGAATGAGCTGAGGCGTGTACAAGAATGAAGACGAGCAGCCTTGATAAAATTGAAAGTCGAAAGATGAGTCTGCGGTCCTCTTCAACGATCATGCTGCTGGCAGATCTGCCCTCAGCTCTCACTTTCGCACTCATAGACCTTGCTCCTTGCATATCAGCTTGTAAATATGCTCTTCAGATCGTTACTTGGTCGTCCTCTTCTTGGTACAACAGCTGGATAGCTCTAGCTTTGTGGTGGGCTATATGTTTGTTACTTCAACGGTGCAGTTCCCCTCTCTCACCCTATGTCTCAATTTTCTAAAAATTGACGGTTATCAAAAGTCTTTTTTTGCCTTTTCTCTTCGTCGCAGTCTTCGCTTTTGCACAATGGCGAAACAACCATCGACCACTTGAATCACTTTCTACAGAGAATACCGTACAAAATATCATTACAGACATCACCATCATTCAGTCACTTCTTCCTCGGTTTCCCCATACTCTTTCAATTCCACTGCCTAAACTTCTCCGAGTCGCTGCCATCTGTTACCTTCCATATCTCTTTCTCACCTCCTTCCTTTCTCTACGAGTCATCTTTGCCATCGCAGGTACACTCCTTCTCTCATGGCGTGCCCCTTGGGCAATAGTCATTCGTACAACAGTCTGGCATAGTGCTTGGTTCAGATGGTCTATCTACAAATTATGGTCTCATCTAACCGGTGATCCACTTCCTCCTCCTACAATGTCTGCACAATCTACCTCGGATTCATTTGCTCCGGTCCAATCCCTCCGATTTCTCTTCACAATTTATGAGAATCAACGCTGGTGGATGGGTCTCGACTGGACAGCCGCTCTTCTACCTGCTGAACGTCCATCATGGTGCTCCGCTTCTCAACAGCCCATTCCACCTCCAAACGCATTCACTCTACCCGAAAATACAATCATATATCTCCCGGACGCGACCGGGAACAGAATGAAGCGGACAGCCATTTGGAAGTGGGAGGAACCAGAATGGCGGGTTCTAGTTCGCAGAGATGGGAGTGGTACTGGCCTTACTCGCGTGGAACGTCCGCTTTCCACTGTCAAAGACGATGCTACAAATAACAGTCGTTTTCTAAAAGCAGCGACAGGAAGAGGGGGAGGCCCCGCGACCTCCGGAAATGTAGACGAGGACTATGTTACAGCTGATTCTAAAGAGTCCCCCAATGAAGATCCTCTCACAGATTCTGATGGTTGGGTCTATGGCGATAATAAATGGGAGAACCAAAGCAACCGGGGCGGTATGGGCAAAGTGGGTCTTTCTTTTCATGAGCTGGTTTGATTTCCTGAAAACCCTTATAGTATACACGGTACCGGAGATGGACTCGGGTTGCAGCTGTATACGAAACCGTAGAACTCGATGTTGGTCCCAGCCTTCCTCAGTCTGCTACTGAGCAGGAAACCTCTACAATCACACCAACATCGACACTCGTGGATCAAAGCTCGAATTCACAACATTCGATTCCAGATATGGCTTCTATGGACGATCCGCCGGAAAGCCCGCTAAGACAACGATTGAGAATGGCCCTGAACAAAGGATCGACGCCAAGTATATAATTATTAATCACATGCACTTGTATACTAGCTCAGCGCAGCTATATTAAGATATGACGCTCGGAAGCACTGGTATACCAGATAATTATAGCTGTACAAGATATGTCGAGTTTAAAGATATTTATGTCTTTACGCAAGTTCAATGAGCGACCATCAAGGGCCTCTGGTACGCCTTCTTACATGTCACGTGCATTCAAGCTGTGACTTCAACAGTAAAAAGACGAGTAACAGTGTACGATCACAGACGATCTGAACACTTACACATGAATCGAACAACGTCTCAAAGATAGACAGTCTATCTTTGACGATGCGAGGAGAGACAGTTCGAATGGTATAAGAGACGAGTCCCCACGGGCCTCATCTCATACATTCGTTCACTGTCTCTCCCAGGTATGATTCTCATCTCTCACTGTTACGAGAGCCGTTTTCATTCGCTCACTATCTCTCCCAGGAGTAGTCCAGTACCAGAGGCATTAATAGTCGCCCACCCACCCACTTCCTCGTAGTATTTTATATTACACAGCTGTACCTAGTAGAGAGATAATGACCATCAAGACCGGTTAGCTGGCCAGAGAGCCGCTAACCGGTTCTGACCCGCTATTCTGTTCGCGTTTCTCACGCCCAGTCGTCATTGGACGCTCGGAAGCATTGGTCACCACAGGGAATTGAACCCCTGACTAGCCGACAAGCCGAACCCTATTCAAATTGAAACTTTGTCTGTTTATATCATTTATGGACTATGTGACTACTTTCCTGTTCAGTTAGGCCACAAAAAAAAAACTGAATCATTAGGCAACTACTTCCTCATCGCTAAAGATGGCAGTCTTCGGGATGCCATCTTGTCTTATGACACCGCGATACATGCTGGGGCAGTTTAGAGGCATAGAGACTATCGAGATTCTTTCAGGAACGTATAGATATCAGGACGATAGTAAAATTACTTACCATGTCCATTATTATCCAAGGCGATGACACCCCCGATGCCACCGTCATCTAAAAGGTCTTTCACAACGCGCTTCGCAGCTTTATCTAAAGGTTCATGTAAATACCGGACACGACGGGCGATTGTGGCTGCTGCTGCGTGTCTAATAAAATACTTGTATGTTGGATGAGTCATTGCTAACCAACATGTATATAAAAAAAACTCACATCTCCATCTCCAGTTCCTGATATGCCAACTGCAGTCGTTGAATGGCCTCTAGTAAATTTGTTCCAAAATTTCCTGAACCATCCAGATGGTTTCCATTCCTCGGCCCAGAATCCGGCACCCATCGTTGGGGTATCACCGACACGGCCCACAAGTTTATTGGTCCGACCACCAGTCGAAGTAAGAGTAGCAATACATCCATGTATGTCGAGTGCCACAGCTCCAACAGTACCTGTGGGGAGTTGGTCCAGCGGTAACGTCCCTGTTAGGCCTGCATCATGGTTAGGAAGAGGATCTTCTGGAAGACCCAAACCACGGCGGTGTTCCCTCCATCGATGCTCCGTAAAGAAATATGAAGGATCAACAAGTATTTGACCAAGAGATTCGCCTATATCCTCAGGTGTTGTCCCAGATAAAAAGGTATGTGGTGCAAGAGAAGGTGACATATAGAGTGCACGAACGAGGGAAGACGGGTTCTTCACTCGTGTCATGAGCGATACGCCAATGCCACGGCGGGTGGGACTTATTTCGGTGGTTGAAACTGGAGGTTTTGAAAGCATAACAGAAGCTTCGAGCTCAATCTATATTTTTTTGTTGTTGTTTAGATAAATACAGGGGAATGATATGATTGAATTCACCTTTCCAGCTACATTGAAAACAGCTCCTTTAGCAGCATTAAACAAAGGGTTATCTAGGGAAGAGATAAGCTTCGGAGGTCATGACTGGATCCAAGAAAGATTGGTGGACCTTCCATGACAGTTACAGCAGCTACTACGGCGTCGATAGCATCCCCACCAGTGCTGAGATGCTGATAGCCCTATGAGAAGAGTGAGTATACGCGAGAGAGTTATCGAGATAAAGGATGCAAACAGATCGCAAAGCTTCAGCCAAGGCTGCCCTATAAGCATCTCTTTGCTCTGGGGTAGATCCTTCCCTCGACATTGTGCCCGCACCGCCATGAATGACCAGCACATATGGCCCAGAGGGCTTTGAGGGAAGGAGTTTCTCCTGGATGCTCATGATAAGGTGAAATGATAAGAACGCTGAGTTTATAAGTCACTTTGCCGGAGTGGTTAACGGGATCGCCTGCTACCTTTGAAGTAGTTGATTAGCGGTTGGTCTTTGACCGCGAGTGTTCGAATCGCTCAGGTGACGCTTTTTTTTTTCTTCTTCTTCTACTTCTTCAACCATATGAGTGGAACAAAGTACGCAGATTTACCTGACATCGTCAGTCCCAGTTTCACTCTTTTGCTCGCTCATTTTTAAATGTAATCATATAGGACACTGCGCCTGATGTTTACGAGACAGAGGATACATATCCATTCCCTCAAAGTGCCGTACGTCCTTCTTTTTCACTTATAAAAGGCTCAAATTCCAATGCTTTCTCTAGGATGGTGCTTCAAGTGACGATGAATCTGCTTTGCCCACGCGATCCTCAAAAATAAAAACTGATTCAAACGGCCGAGAGGAGCTCGATGTCAGTAACTTGATAGGAACGGAAGAGGCAACTAAGACCTTCCGGAAAGCAGAGAAGAAACGCGGTTCGTCCATATTTAATCACAAAACATCTATCCTCACAATCGATATCACCATCAAGGTCGCCCAAAATCCCAATACGCTTATCCACCGTCTCCAACCTCGCCATCTTCCCCGACAGACTCACAAAACGTACCACGACCGGTTCCCCTTTCGCATCGGCTGCGCTCTCTGCAAACTGAACTATCTGCTCTTGAGCATGAATTGGCAGATCCTTCCAATCCACTGATACAAAGAGAACGCGAAGAGGAGAATGTAGACCCCGGAGAACTCATCAGAGGGCTTGTCGATGTACGAACAAGGCTGGACAAGATCAGGAAAGTTAAGGAAGGCAGAGCGAGGTTAGTAGGCGCGGTCCTGGAAGGAGACTTGCTTCCAAAAGATTACGGGGTCAAGAAATTAGACGAGGAAGACAAGACAACAGCCATTGACGATAAACTAAATTCAAATTCTGAATTGCAGACCATGATCAGCATCGACCGGCGCGTCAGGGAACTAGAAACAATTATAGGTTCATCTACCATGTCTTTGGACGAGGTACATGTCTAATTCACTGGTGAAAATGACATTCGGTAAGCTGACATTAAGCACTCTTCGTAGACCTCCCCTCTTCCTGCGCCCCTTCTTCCTCTTATCACGCGATTGAACAGTCAATTAACTATTCTGACTCAACCACGACACATCGACTCTATTTCTCGCCGTCTAAAGCTTTTGCTTTCAGATTTAGACCGAGCCTCTACGTCCCAACACCAATCACACCGCCGTCAGCCTTCACAATCGAATGGTCAGGCCCCACAACCTTCTGTCATCCAAGAACAATTGTTGCCACTTCTCGCACGCCTCGCGCCATTGGTACCCCACATTCCACATATCCTGACACGTCTACGAACACTCTCCACTCTGCACTCATCTGCAGCTGAATTTCAAAATACAATCGAAGATTTGGAAGAAGAGCAGAAGAAAATGCGTAGCACATTGCTCCAACTTCAAGAAGCGGTTCACACTGTTGAAACCAGTCTTGATGAAAACCGGGAGGTGGTAAAGAATAACGTGAGGGGACTTGAGGAAAGGGTCAATGGATTGCTCAGTCGCCTGGAGGAACTTCGTCGGGAACAGAAGGATTAAATGTTAAATACCCGTATACTTTAGTAAACCGATGTGCGCATGAGCATATGATATTCTTCCACCAGGGTTTATTGGATTATGTCAACTTGCGTCGCGATTCTGGATGCATATTTATACCAACCATCCTTTCTACGACCGCCTTGATGTGTCAGTTACTTAGAATCCAAAATATCAATGAGTCTCAGACATACCTGGGCTTGATCCCAGTCAGACGGTGGTTCATCTTCCTCCTCTTCCTGGCCTAGTCTGGCATTCTCGTCATGCCCACCTCCTAAACCCCAACCGCCTATACTCTCCCTAGCGGCTAGTTCGATATCTGGGCTCCTACATGACATCGAAAACATTAATAAGAGTGTAAAATACTTGACAGATCTCAAGCAAACCTAAGCGCTTCTAGCATTTCCCGTTCACGCTCGCGTTCCATTTCAATAACATAACTAACAGGACCCTTCCGTGGTGTCTCTTCTCCGAACAAGTCTTCATTCCTCCGAGTATGGTTCAAATCTGGCGGTATCTTGCCTTTTTGTGCAATACGGCCTCTCCGGTCTCGAGGAATACCCCCAGACAAAAATGTAGGTGTTCGTGGCTGGAAAGCAGGACTGTTTCTAAACCTCTGGTTGACTGGGTCAGATTGTGGACAAGAGCTTCGCACGAGCCGTAACAGATCCTTGATTGCAGCCTCGCCTGCTGTGGGCTGGGGGGTCGGGGTTGTCAGAGAAAACGCGACGGGTAATTGTCGACTTTGAGAAGACAGTACTAAAAGCCTATGATTTATTCATCAGTGAAGGAATTCAACTTGAAAGGAAAACATATATACATCTGCTGAAGTCGTGGCTGTTGATATGAGAACGCTTCCTGAAAGCTATCCTGCCTGTTTGGAAGGGATAGACGGGCAAAGAGCCTTTGAAAAGGCGGAAGGATGACCCGATCACGGAAAGATTTAAGAGCAACAGAACGAACATCAATTTGAGATGTGGAGGATGGATTCATAACTGATGCTACAGCTACTTTGTTGCTATTCTGTCGATTTGGAGAGGTCGGCCTGTGAGATTTTGGCGTTCGAGACAACGATAATAACAAAGGATCTGTTTGTAATGGTAAAAGCACCTGTTATTTCGTTAGGGTAGCGGGCAGTTACAGCAACGAAAGTAAACGTACGCCTTCAAGGTATGTGAGTACCTGATCCCAGAAGAAACCCCATATCTCCACGACTCGGGCAACCAATTTCTCATCGTCGATTCCTTTGAGCTTGGCATTGAGAGTAACCATCCCCGATGCAATTAACTCCGATGCGTCGTTCTCAAGATTCACTAGAGCTTTCGAGGGCGATAAAGACACGACAACCTGTATGTGTCGTTTAACGAGTTTATTTAGTTCTTCTCTTTGTGTTGCAAAATTTGAATTAGAAATCTAAAGAAGGAAGAGTTGAAAAATGGCGTACATCGGGATACTGAGCGGTTCGCCATTGAATAATGGTAACACATGAACGTGCAGAGCGCCCCAGGGATCTGAGGTGGAAGCTGAAGACACATTATTAACCTGCGACATGCCTGGTGGGGGTAATGGCACTGTGGTGACGGACGGTGCTGTGGAGAGCTGAGGCGTTAGCGCTGATGGGTGGTGAGCTAAATTACCCAGTCGATGCATTTCACGAGAAACAAGTTTGGAGTCATATGTGCGGTATGAAGCCTTCATGTCTATAAGCGATTCCAGAAATAATTCGATTGATAAAGTAGGCTGACCTTGGATGGAGAGGTATGTGATTTCGGGGTAGGCAAGATCGAGGAAGTGGACATGGCTCCCGGTGATAGAGCGGAGATGGTGGTTGAGCCAGATTCCGCTCTCGAGTGGCTATATGGGTGCAATAACAAGCTTGGATGAAGCGAATTCTTTAAGCTCGCACTTGTATCCTTCGCAGTTCCAGATAAGGAGGATGTCAACTTATCCGCAAAGAAACCAAGGCGTCTCGAAGAGCCAAAGACTTCGGCTTTCTCAGAAATCAACGTAGAGGCGGATGGTAAGAGATTTCGATTTGTGTCTTGATGATCGTTGGTGGCAGTTAAGAAACGGGTACTTGCTGTAGTTTGACGGGGTGTAGCATCGCTAGAAGTACGTCTCCGAGGTTCTGAACCATCATCGGGAGACGAAGACCTGCTTGCTTTTAAATCAACATGACTTTGTTCGTGCAACCGTCGGGGACCATGAAGATGAGAGGAGTTCCACATGATGATGTTAGGAAAAGGTATTTATATATAATAAATAAGTATTACATAGCGCCTATGAGAAGTTTGGTCACACCTTTTCTTGAATGGCATGGCGCGCGACTAGGGCGCTTGCCAAGGAATTCAATGTTCTGGCTCTCGAATCTTCCGCAGATGATACCTGTGCTGCTATAGTCACTTCGACAAGAAAAATTCTGTCTAATGTTATTATTAAACAAAACAATATGTCAGTTCAACTTTTACGGCCATTCAAACAGCGGACGTCTCTAACTGATTGGCCTCTAGACATGAGGTACAGGGCGGTATTCACCCCCTCCATGCAATGGAATCTCACCAATGCAATATGGTATCTACTTGTCTATGTTTCCTCCCTCCACGTACTTAGCTAAATAGCCAGGTGCGGTCAGACGTGCTCTGGACGATGCTGGTTTGGACGTCTCTCGTGACATAGACGGCATCGCATTTACAAGAGGTCCCGGTGAGTTATACACCTAAATTCAATTGTACCATTCTAATGGTCATTGTGTGATATTTTTACAGGCATGCGCGCATGTCTGGCAGTTGGGATGAACGCAGCTAAAACATTGGCAGCTGCTCTGAAAAAGCCCCTGGTCGGAGTTCATCATATGGTACAAGTTCTTGTTTGGAAAACCTCGATTTTTCTTCCGATTGACGGGGAAATTCTAGCAAGGTCATGCGTTAACGCCGCTCCTTACCTCTTGGCCTCATCCTCCTAAGTTCCCCTTTCTAACTCTTCTTGTTTCCGGAGGCCATACCCTACTTCTTCTAGCAAACTCTCCCGATAGTTTCAAAATTCTCGCGACAACTCAAGATGAAAGCATTGGACGATCATTCGATAAAGTCTCTAGGCTTCTGGGCCTCAAATGGACAAAACTTGGGCCCGGCGATGCCTTGGAAAAATTCTGTACAGAAGATCCTGAGGAAGATTTACCTTCCATCCCCATAATATCTCGCCCTTTCATTGGCCAATTACAATTTTCATTCTCAGGACTACATTCTTATGTAAAACAGTTTATCGACCGGCAAGTCGTGGAGATTGACATCCCAACAAAAAGGGCGTTGGCTCGTGCATTCCAGACGGCTGCCGTAGGCCAACTTGAAGAAAAGCTATTACTCGCCCTCAAATGGTGCGAAATGAAAGATGTCGTAGTGCAAGAAATCGTCGTCAGCGGGGGTGTGGCTAGTAATAATTTTCTTCGTGAACGGTATATATTGCCTTTCAGGCGACGAATAGTCTCCTTAATGTCACTG